TTATGCTACAAAATTCTTTTTACCATTCATCTCTCATTCATTTATTTCTAAGCTTTTTATAGATATAGCTCAAGTTATATGACCAAATTAAGGAAACAGTCCAACATTTATTATATTTTGTATTATAATCAGTTTATTATATTTGTTAATGATATACCATTATATGCCAATAATAAACCCTTTACATATCAATATGAACAGCCACACTTTTAAACTTTAAAAAATTTGATCTATATTTTTTAAGTACAAAATTTTTTTGATCAATGGACTAATTTATCCTTTATTTATTTTGATATTTTACTTCAGAGGAACAAGCACATGATGACATGAAGTTCAAACATGATCCAACTTCACCTGCAAGACAACTTTCATGCCACTAGATTAAAAGGTAACTGATCTTCTCTTATTTATTTAACTCTAAATTTTTATTCTAGATAGATATAAATATTAATTAAATTAGGTGCTCATATGCTGTAGATTATTCATTAGATATATACTTTTCTTTTTAAATGTTTTATGAAGTAAAACAAAACATCGAATCTAACGCAGCTCATCTATTTTCTTAATGCAATGTAATAAATAATTTTATAATGACTACTTTTTATAAATATTATTTTAGTTTAATATTTTTTAAAAATAAAAGCTTTAAAATCACTTTTTATTCTTATAGATTTTATTTTATATTATATCTTCCTATTATAAATACCAAAATTAATAATGGAATGTTTATTCCCACTCTTATATTATTGTGGGGTCTCTCCATTTCTTTACTCTTCTTTTACCTCCACTTTTCAATCATGACCATTGATATCATTTTAGTAAATGAAATTGTTTTAACCATAGATTGGAAAAATGATCATGATTGGAGAGCAAAGGGAAAATGAGAATAAAAGAAATGGAAAGACCCCCTCCCTTTTTATATACGGATCATTAGAGTCGGAAAAACTGGCCGAGTCCGTCAGGCCTACCTGTTTAAGCTGGTATAATAGGAGAGCCGAGCTTACAATTAGGACCTCAAAATGGAAAACAGTCTCAAATGGGTTGGCTTGTTTAGGCCCTAATTTAAATGGGCTAGCCCTAACGGGCCAAGGGCCAACCCATTTAAACCCTTGTAATTTTTTTTTATCATGAGCATGATGAGTGAAAGACTAGTGGGCTGGACAAAAATTAAGTAAGTTGGAGCCCATATTTACTAAAGGATAGAAGGAGGAAATTAAAAAAAAACCAAACCTAATCTTATTCACTTTCGTTAGTTTGTGCGCAATGGCAGTCATCTTTCGGTCTTTGATCTTTCTGGTTGAGCTAACTAGCTGAGGCTATAGAGACAAAAGTGAAGTAAGGCTCTCATCTTTAAATCTTATCGCTCTCGTCACTACTGTAGCTGCCTTCGCTGTCAACCATCATCCGATCTACGTTCCACGCTGCTAGTCGTTATGTTTTTCGCACAGCTCACCGTCGTTCGATCTCCCTCCTCAGCTCGAATCAACGTTTAAAGGTTGTAGTTCTAACCCCTACTATGGCACCGATCTTCCACCATCCTGCCATTACCGTCGAGGTCATGCACTAGTGTATTTCTGCCATCAGTCCAAACACAAGTTCACCAATCACCAAGGCCGAAGACTTCTCTTTTGCTTGCGTATTCTCTGTTCTCATGAATTCACAAAGCCGTACTGTGTTGAGTTCTCTATTCTGTGTGCTGAGTTCTTTGTTCTGTGTTCTGTGTTATCGTGTTCTCTATTCCCTCATCTGTTGAATCACGCACAGTTGCTTGCACAAGTTTGAGCTTTCTCCTATTTTGCTTGGGTATTTAGGTGTTCTGTTCTAGCTTTAGTTTATGAGTAATTTATTCCTTTTACTTTGATGCAATGCAATAGGCAGACAGTATTTGAAATTTATAATGTCTACCTCATAATCACACAAGAGTAAGAGCAAGGCAACTAATGTCTCTAGCAATGACTTAGCCAAGTGTGATGATGGAACATTAGTTAAGAGTGGTATGATCCCTAGTTCAGCTGCTAGCAGTGTCAATGTCGTTGGAAAAGATAAAGGAAAAGTACCTGCTGGTGTAGTTCAAGAGGCAGAGGACGTGCAGGTGGATGATGAATTGAAAACTAAAAGGTTTAGAGGTAAGTCATGTTCTTTTGTTCAAGAGACTGATGAATCTAAGTCTAAAAAAGCTAGAACTTTAACCTCTAATGTTTGGAAGTATTTTACTTGAATTAAGGTTATTAAGAAACCTAAAGTAAGGTATAATGGCTGTCAAACTTTACTAGCATCCGGTGGGGCTAATGATAATTCACATTTAAATAGGCATGCTAGATCTTATAAAGTTTTGGACAAATTTCATGATATTGGAGTGATGTTATTGGATAAAGAAGGCAATATTAGGTGTCAAAAAATTAATAATATGCCAATTTGGAGGATTATAACTATGGCCATAATTGCACATGATCTTCCTTGTTCCTTTGTTGAATACAAGTGGATCAAAGAACTACTTTTGACATTGAATCCCGGTGTTAGGCTCTTTACTAGAAAAACTATTATTGCTGATGTTATGAAATTCTTCCTTCAACAAAAAGAAAATTTGAAATAAAAGTTGAAGAGTAGTAATAGTAAAATTTGTTTGACATATGATAGTTGGACTTCTGTGACTTCTGAAGGGTATATTTATTTGACATCTCATTTTGTGGATGAAAGGTGGAAATTATGTAGTAAAATACTTTCATTTTGTAAAATGGAACCTCCACATTTTGGGATAGAGCTTGCTAGAAAAGTGCATGAATGTTTGACTGATTGGAAGATTGAGAACAGAATATTCTTCGTTACTTTAGACAATGCATCTGTAAATGATAATATGCAGGACATGTTAAAAGAGAAGTTGAGTTTGCAAGATGATTTCAAATTAGTGAGTAATAGAGAATTTTTTCATGTGAGGTGTTGTGCTCGTATCCTAAACTTGATAATTCAAGAGGGTTTGAAAGTTACAAGTTTTGCTTTGCATAAGATTAGAGAAAGTATTAAATTTGTGAAAGCATCAAAGGCAAGGTCAATTCTTTTTAAACAATGTGTTGAGCAAGTTGGTAGCATTGACACCTCAATGGGCTTGCGGCTAGATGTGCCTACTAAATGAAATTCCACTTACACAATGCTTGAAAGTGGAATTAAATATCGTCATGCTTTTGCACACATGGTTGTCAATGATATAAATTACAAGTTTGGTCTCACAAATGATGAGTTGGCTAGAGCAAATGCAATGTGCAACTTCTTGAGGCCATTTGAGAAGATTACAAAGTTAATTTCTGGGTCATCATATCCTACATCAAACTCTTATTTTATGCAAATTTTCCAAATTGACATGTTGCTTGATGCAAATACAAAGAGCCTTAATCCTGTGATTCAAGAGATGGCTAGGACAATGAAACAAAAGTTTGACAGGTATTGAAATGAGTATAGTGTCATTCTTGCACTTGCAGTAGTTTTTGATCTAAGATGAAAGTTTAATATAATACAATATTGCTATACAAAGAGTGACCCTATCACTTGCCATGAGAAGGTTGCTAATATTAAGAGTAAGTTAATATTCATGTTTAATGAATATTCAAGTATGGGGACATCTACCAATCTTGGAGTTGATAGGGCTGCAAGTGGATAAAGGTATAAAGCTTCAACAGTCACTACTAATCATTCTTCCTTGGCTTCAAGTGTTTCAACATCAACCTCTTTTGGTGATGCCTTTGATGTAAGTTTTAAATTCCTTGTCTTTTTAAATTCTTTCACCTTTTTCATTAATCTAGTATTTGTTGATATTTTTTTTATCCGTTATAAATACATGATGCAGGATTATCAAGATATTTATGCAATTATGGTCTATGGACCATTCTTCCTTGGATAAGTCTGAACTTGAAAATTATTTAGAGGAACCAATAATGAAGACTGATAGTTGGAGAGAATTGGATGTCTTAAACTGGTGGAAAAGTAATCAACATCAATATCCAATTCTTTCAAGGATGGCGGTTAATATTCTTAGCATTTCGATCACTACAGTAGCTAGTGAGTCAACTTTTAGCATTGGTTTGCGCATCCTAACAAAGTATCGTAGTTTCATTCTTCCAACTAATGTTCAAGCTATTATTTGCGTTCGTAATTGGTTACATGATTTTGTGTACAATGGTAATTTTAATTTATATTTATTTTATTTTTTACCATACAAATTGCAAACAACATGAGAAATAATAATTATAATTGTGTGAGTATTTTTGTTTATTATTTTTTTGTAGATATTGAAGGTGAAGAAGAAGAAGAAAGTCTTGATATTTTTACCCCTAATGAGCTAGCTATAAGTGGATCACAATCGAATTTTGTTAAGCTTAATAATAGTGAAGAAGAAGAAGATAATGATAATGCTACCAATGTTTGAGTTATTGAGTATTGATATGTATTTATTTACAGATTTTCATGAGACTATGGTTTTTGGTGGATACTGGATAGATTCAGCTCATCTTGGCTTCATTACATGCTATCATTTTTATTTAGATTGTGTTTCTAACATCTAGCTCATTTAGATGTTTTGTTTCTTTGAATATTGTTACTTGTTGAACTTATTGCTACTTGTTTATTGTGGTTAATTTGATTGTTTATTACTTATTGTTATTTAGCTTATGTCATAAAGGCATAATTGAACCAATTTTAATTTGAGAAAAAAAATAAAATAAAAGGCTAAAGGGCTCGAAGCTCATAGGGCATGCCCTAAGCCCATTATGCTTAGAACTGGACTTCAAGATTGATCCCCTCAAAAAAAACTCGGACTTAAACGGGCTGGCCCTTTTAGGTCCGAGCCCATCAAGGGCCGGCCCTATAGGGCCAGACTAGCTCATTTTTTCAGCTCTACGAATCACGTGAATTTAAAACATACAAGTATTATTCGAACTAGATTTCGACTTCATACAAAAAGACTCGACTCGTGGGTCGTGGCAAGGTGATTCTATTGTATTGGTTCGTAGTAGTATTTACTCTTCCGTTTTATTCAAAACAAAGCTCGACTAACAGACAAGTATTCTCTTGACATACATGAAATCCAACAAGCTAATCAGATATCTCATGGAAGTATTTTAATTGAATTCCAACTTCATATTCTTTTAAAAACAAACAGAGAACCTCTGGAACCCTTCCCTAATCTGATCTTGTCATCTATGTAAGTGATTCGGAGTTTAACCTCACTTTGACCGCCATACTGGAGCTCCAGTGATCCCACCTTTAGTTCAGGTGCTTCAAATACAACTTGAATCCATTCGCCATCTAGAGCCTTTAGTTTTCCTGTTTGATCCAAACATGAATGAGACAATCACACAAGTTTTCCACCGAAGAACATTGGATTAAACTCTAAACTAAAAGCTATCCATTTCATTCAGGACTGTATAATGTAGTGTATCGTGATTGCTAAGCTAGATATAGTGAACAAAACCCATGACCATAACATTCATGCCCTTTCCACGAAAGAGGAGTTTTCAAGTGATTATAAAATCTTATTTGCTCATGTTTGGATCAGATAACTGTATCTAAAGAGAATGCCAAAAAAATTCACATAAGCCGATAATTCTGGTTTGGTCTTTGGTATCAAAAGCTTTTGGAAATATGATATTGCTATCAAATACGGATTTCTCATTGAACTTTTATAAAGAATGAAATCATAGGATCACCTACCCTTCAAAGACACCTCTCCGTCCAGGAAGCCTAAAAGAGAAAAGCATATCTTGTTTCTTACAATATCAGGAGCTTCAACAACCTGAATCATCTCCTTTGTCTTAAAGAAAAGGCGACCCAGTGCACTTCTGTAGCCACCTCCAGGTGATGTTGGCCTTGAACAGTACACCACATCCCACTCTGAAACAAATCAACAATAACAATAGCAAAAGGCAAGTAAGGAGTGATCTGATTTCTGAAGGAACAGGTGAAGTACTTTGAGAGAAACTTTGCCTTGTCTATTGAAAAAAAAAAAAACATGTGAAAAAAAAAACAAATTGTGATTGACCTACTTCCATATTTATCTAAGACTCTTATTATTAGTGGGCTCTCATTAATTGTATTTGCATTTTATTAAAAAAAATGTGCTGTTATATATTTGAGCTAAATTGGAATGGGCTGAGCGACCCAATTACATTGGTGATCGTTATTATAAATACGGGATGTGCGCTTTACGTTAATTGGTGTGGCTGGCTGGTATAGTGTAGGGCTTTTGTCCTATTAAGCTAGCAATGGGAAGGCCTGAACAGTTTGTTACCTATTGGCTAGGTCTCTTTCCCAGTCGTCACTTCTGCTAATTATAGAAAGAACACTTGCTTGTTGGCTTGCCCCATCAAATAGTTGAACACTGGGAGGAAACTAGGAATAAAGTCCAAGCTACTGATGTTCATATGACCATCTATCATAACCTGCAGTCTACAACAATCACACGTAGGCGTCTAAGTCTAATCCTTCATTCTCTTAGTCATAGGCAATCTATATTCCTTGGATAATTCAATTTTATCAGAAAATTCGATCTTCTTTAGACTCGATCTACTTGCTGAAACAGAAAATAGCCTCCACACCAAACCAGATTTGTTTCCAAAGTGGAACAGTTCTTATCATTGAACTTTTGGAGAAAGAAAACTACAGATTATTAAAGGCTTTTAAAGATGAGAAAAAACAGTATATTTAAAATGAAGTCAAATCCCCCCCCCAAAAAAAAAAAAATGGAGTCCGGCTTTTAGTGGCTTTCAATGCAATCTCAGGATGGCTTCAACGCATGGAATTACCTCCAAATATTAAAGGGCATTTCACTGGCTCATTCACACAATAATTTTGCAATTCTTGAGCCACTTCAGCGACCTCTTTATGTTCTTCGTCTTTCAGAAAAACCCCTCCGTCTGTTTGCATCACCTACACCAAAAATTACAACTGGCTTCTATAATACACATATCTGAAGGGGAAAAAAAAGAGCTTAAACCCAAAAATTGAATGTCATGGATACAAGTATATAACTATCATGCTGCAACAACAATAACAAGAAGTTTTATCCCATTAGGTGGGGCCGGCTATATAAATTGCATGACACAATTGTATTCTATCATCACAAGTATATAACTATCACGGTGCTGAAAATTTTCAAAATAAATCATAATCAACCATTGATAGTCATAAGCAAGAAGAAATTGATTGCTAGTCGTTAAGAAAGAAAATTCATCATTTATGGGCAAGTAGCATTGGTTTTTGAAATACTAAACACATACTAGAGGTACCCCAGTATAAATTTTACTCGGAAACATTTTCTATTTCAGTTTCCTATTTGAGAGAACTCGACAAAATCCCACTACAGCAGTACAGCGTGTAAACCTGCAGAAGGTTCCAAACTTGAAATTACTAGTGCCTTCTTGGCCTTATCCAAATGTTCTCTGTACTAAGGAAATATGCTTTAAGGCCTACCAAAATGCAGAATAGTCACCTAAATCAATATTTGAGCTATATACTCTCATAATGTATCCATTTCATTCTTTAATGACCACAAATTCAGGTGTTCAACAGTAAGCATGGAATGTAAGCGTTGATACCATCAAGTGAAGCAAAGGTGTTTTTTAAGCATGAAGATAACGTGGATGGTTTTGAATGACAATGATGGTACTAGTAGAGGCAATTTATACTTCACTGTTCTTTTCCCAACGTTTTCCTTTCATTACACAATTCGCTTTTCTTTTCCTAACCTTCTCCTTTCATTACGTTACACGCGTTCACGGTTATTCCTCTCGTCCTTCGGATAAAAATGCCTTGACATTTAATCAAACATGTTTCAACCACTACCTACTCAGTCCATGCTTTTAATGTGATCTCGAAGTTTCTAATACAAATACGCGGTTCCTAAGTTATAAAAGGATTACAGAAGCAAGAAGCATTGGATCCTTCGTATGACCTTCATTGATTCATCTCTCTTACGTTAGTTTTATAAATCAACCTTCACAAATCACCCACCAATTTCAGTCAAGAGAGAAAGAAAGAGTTTCGCCAGATATTGAAGAAAAAAGATCAATGGGATGTACCGAAAAACAATGGGGCCAAATAAACATAATAAATTAACCCAGTAGTCATCCTTTCGGTCGGGGGAAAAATCTTAAGCACTTTGGCTTACAGCGCAGAGTACTGAGGACCAAATTCTAATTCCCTAATTCGTTATAATTTGAAAACTAAAGCAGAGTAATACCGCAAAAAGCATGAAATCTTCAATTACCTTTGAAAGAATGGACGACACGAGATCATCGGGGCCGGTTCGCACTTGCGGGTTAGGGACTGAAATAGAAGCAGAGACTCGCAAGCTTTTTGGGCGGCGACTCTGCTGAGAGCATGACGGAGACAGAGTAAAAGGTGCATTGGAGAAATGGATGGATGAGAATTTCTGTTTGGGAGGATCAACGCCTCCGACTGAATAAGGTAGTAAAGAGAGGGAAGTAGCCGCCATGGCTAGGAGTGAAGGGGCACACAACGGAACGAGATGATGAAGGTTATATAGAGCTGGCGATGCCACGTATGCAGAAAAATCAGTCTGGGTCCTGCCGGAAGTAAACTATTGGGTTTTGGTGCTGCCACGTAGGCAATTCTTCGTCGCCTTATCTCTAATGCCGTGGCTGTACGGGAAGATTTTAAGACATGTTAACTGTTGGAAAATTTTCAGTTGAGGACCCTCGCAGATACTTAATTTTTTTTCAAAAAAAATTTTAAATTTCAGTTCAATTTAAAAGAAAAAAAAATTTGACAGTAAAAAAATTAAAATATCCTTCACTTATTATATAGAATAACTAGTTGTGAATTTTCTTATTACACTTATTACTTTATCAATATCACTTATAAATTACATTCATTTGTCACATAATTAGTAATATTAGTTGTTAATTTTTTAACATTGCTTATTAATTTACTAACATCAGTTATAATTATAATAGCTGTGAGTAATTTATAATTAATATTAATAAATTGTAAGATCGGTCAGTAATTTAAAACTGATGTTAAAAAATTAACAAATAAAATTAGTAATGTAACAACTAATGTTGCTATTTATGATTGAACAACTAATATCAAAATCTTATAAAATTATAACATGTCAACTCATGTAATTTATAACTCGCATTCATAAATTAATAAGTGAAATAAAAAAATTAATAACTAGTAATTTTACATAATAAATTAAGGATATTTTAATCTATTTATAGTTGAAACTTTTTTTAACTTTTCTCCCATGAAGTGAAATGAAATTTAAAATTTTTAAACCCACTTAAAATTAAAACTTTACTGTGGTCCTTAATTAAAATTCCCTCTTAATTGTCCCTTGTTATTAAAAATTAAGTTAACGAGAAAATCATTTTAAGTCACGTTTCCTTAAACTTGGGTCCACCTTTTTTTGGCTAAAAAATAATCGATTGTGGAATATTATTAAATTTATTATTATGGTTAACTAAATAAAATCAATCAATTTTGTATCAGTTTTCAATACTAACTAAGTTAATATTTTGAATAATGCTCCTTATTGTTTAACAAGATATTGTTTTATATTGTATTGTTTTCTTTGGTTGTATTACTTTGGCAGATCAACAAAAATGTCGATGCATGCATGCTTATGAATTGGATTCAGTGATTGTAGATTCTCTCTGAGTGCATGTATCATGTGAATTGTTTAAATTTAAATTAATAAATAAATAAATTTATTTAAATTATTAATATAAATTTTAATAATTTAAATGATATAAATATTTAATATTTATATTAAATATAATCACTTAATTCAAATTTCATGTTTTGTCAAGCTGCTCTGGCAATGCCAGTACATAAATACGAATATATATTTGGACTTTTGGTTTACTCTCCTGCCATGGCGCAGGTTAACTATATGTTAATATTTGTCTGAAACTTCCATGCCACTTTGAATGAAAACTAGACATTGCCATTGTCAGTCTCAAAGCCAATTAAATTAATTGCACCACACGCACCCGTGCATATAATATGTAGGGTTGAGGGTGATTTTTTTTTCTCAATTTTATTAAAAAAATTACTAAATATTTTAATCTCAACAATAATTCAATTTTTTCTTTCAACATTATTCCTTTATTAACCTGATATTACAAAATGCTTAAAGTTAGTTAATTATCAGTTGGTCTTATTATTTTTTAATATTTAGTTAATTATCAGTTGGTCTTATTATTTTTTAATATTTTGTATTAAGTTAATGGTCATTTTTACCTAACGTTTTCAAAACCGAACCGGATACTGAATCGAAAAAGCAACAATTTATGATTTGCAGTTGGATCAATGATCAAACTGATGACGTAATAATTAAATTAAAAAATTATACATGTATATAATAATTTAAATATAATAAATAAATATAAAATTTTTAATTTAACTTAAAAATAAAATTAAATATTTTAATTTTATTATGAGTTAACAAGTCACGTGATGCAACATAACATCAAGTGATTAAAAAATTGATCATTTTGTAAAAAAATTGATAAAAAATGAAAAAAAAAGAAGAAAAAGGGTATTTTTTGAACAATTTAGTTTTTTAAAATTGAATCTCATCTCTGGTCCTATCACTGATCCAAAGCAATCCAACCCAGCTCAACCCTTCAAACAGTTTTTTCATGTTGACCAAGCTAAAATTTAAATCAGTCGATGGTCTAACTGATCTCCAATTTGGTTCAATTTTTTAATTATTATTTTTACCTCTCAACTTTTATACGAATGGTCAGTGAGCACATTTAACTCAAATATTTTATAATAAAATATATTAAAAAATGTAATGTGAAGCCTACTAACAAGTAACTAATGGTGATAAAATGATAGGATGATAAATAAGTAAATCTTTAAAATTAAAGGGTAGAATTAACATATAGTTGAGCCTAGAATCCCCGACAACCTCTTGAACAAAGTTGAAAGGTAAATATGACCCTTAACTTTTTTTTTATATATAAATAGGTCCATGTTTGGATACTTTTTCGAGATAATCAATTTTGAATGGTAAAATTATAGTTTTATAAAAATATATTCAATTACTCTTAATAATCAATACATCTTAAGATCAATTATAAACTTAAAACCTCAGTTTTTTTTAAAGACAAAAACATCCAAACATCCCTTGTACCTCCCGCCTTGTCTTTCTATTCCCTCGGGTGATTTTCTTGGTAGACTGATAGCCTCGCGGCTCATCCTTCAACGAGATATTAATGAGAAGTGTTTTAATGTCATTGTAATCCCAGTGTTGGTTGTTGCTGATTTTTAGCACATATAGGCGATCGTGGTAAAGGTTATACTTTCATGGCTCTCCATCAAGAATGAGTTTTAGGAGGGCATGAGTTAGATTTATATGAGCTAGCATTACTCTTTTTATTTTTATATATAAATATTTTTAATTGAATTCTGCATACAAATAAAAATTTATTATTTAGTTGAATTCACAAAAAACACAATAATTTTTTAATTTTACTTTCAATAATATTATAATTAATATAACGATGATAGTAGTAAAAACATACAATTAATAATCTATTCAATTTTTTAAAATAAGAATAAAATTGTTTAATTATTTAAAAATATCGTTACCGCTCCTCATATTTAAAGATGAAACAAGCTTAGATACTTTACATATAGAGGCGGATGGAGTAATGAGTAATCTAAGTGTTGTTATTATTGTGCTTAAGGATTAGAGTTTAATGATTTGACATGGTCAAATAGCCTCATGAAAAAAATCATTGTGTGTGTGTGAGTGTGTGTGATTCTTCAATAATGTTTTTTAAATGACAAGTGTTTTCCTCTCATCGTATCACAATTTTGTTATTGATTTTTAGAATGGATAACTGTGACATAGAAACTTTTTTATTTATCTGAGAATAAGTTTATGTTTAGGGGTTCAATCAAAGGGCTAAAGGTATTTTTGGGAATGAGTTTATAAAATACATGTAAAATTTTAATTTTTAAAGCGGACTTGGCTTTTTTTCTCTGAGAAAAGCATTCGCTGTGCCTCTTTTAATTGAGGAAAAATTTGGATCATTTAAATTTAATATTTTTTATTTAAATATAAATTATAAAAAAATTTAATAAACCTATTGACTAATTTTTCTAGTCCAAAATACTGCTTCCCCCCTCCCCCCCCAAAAAAAAAAAAAAACTATCCCACCACCCTAACTTTATAATAAGCCATCCCTTGGTTAAGCTAGAAAAAATCTTTCAACTAAACTTGATCATGATTTTTTGGCAAAAGAATTGTCATCTTATATGGTTAAGAATATATAAGATAGATAACTAATTTGCATAAATTGAATTTAAATTAAAATAAAAGTTAAATCATGTTAATTAACAATACTAATTGGCGGTGCATGAGGAATTGTAAGCTGTCACTCTTTCCAATAATGGTTTAAATGAAACGTGTCTACTGATAATCAACAGCTTCCTCTGCCAAATTACATGTCGCCGATCAATTATCATTGGTAAACATATAATTTATTATTCAGAAACACAATATATTTCATAATTAGACTATCATAGGCAGTCAATTAACTATGTTATCAACATATAAGAATAAATGGGAGCGAAACAATAGTAAGAGGTAAGGAGTGTGAAATATATGAGCTCATGGATGAAGAAATAAAAGTATTGTTTTAATTTTCCGTGGAATATTAATAAAACAAGATGTCTATTAATGAATTATTGTTAACTATGTTTAAATTATGTGTTAACAATTAGATACAATACGCTGGCGAAAAAGCAATTAGTTTAAAATACAGCAAACTAATTATACTAACCCCTATTCCAAAACATTCCTTTGTTATATTCTAACCATTTGTCCACAAGTTTTTATAAGTGAATAAGTTAAGATAAGATGGGATATGAAAGGAAAAATGGAAGAGACTTTTTTGAAAGAAAGACAAATAAATCTCGTCCAAATAAATAATTGATAAAAGAGTATCATGAATAAAAAAAATTATTCTAAAATTCTCAAGAACTTATTTGATAATTTTTGTTGGGGAAATTGTGTTCCTAACCCTTTACAAAACAATAGGAAACATAATCATTAATGTCTAAACTCTATAGCATATTTTGTAGAGGGGTAGAGATATAATTTTATAAAAATTCATGTCAGATAAGTTTCTAAAATTTTTAAAATAATCATTATATTTTGTTGTATTCTGTCATTATTTAGGGAAAAACTTACTCTTTTCATTAAAAAATATCTTCCATTTTTTTAAGGATTGAATGTCATAAAATATGAGATATTTTTAATCTTTTAATATATAATCATTATTTTAAAAAAATTATTAAATAAATCACTTTATATTTATTTCAGGGTGAAACACCTTATTAAATAGAATTAATATAATAATATAGTATTAGTTTAAAGATAAATAACTACTTTATTGAATAGTAAAATTCAGTTAAAAATACTTTTTATTTTTTTAAGAGAGGGAGTATATAATTAGTTTTGTATATTTAATCTACTTATTTCTAATTAAATTAATACATATGTATCTTTTATATATTATTTATTCTACAACAAAATCCTGTTATTAATATTATTAACACATTAAAATTATATGTCTTAATCTGACTAAATAAAAATATATTAAATATATAAAATTAAGTATATAAATTTTGTCCCATTATTTACCTATTTCAATGAAATTTATTTGTTGTTCTCCCTAAATCCTTTTGCCATGAAATTTAAAACAGGCGTATCTTCATCTTAATCAATTTCAACGTGAAATAAATTAAAATAAAAGGTCACGAATCATTAACCAAACAAAAAGAGACAGCGAATCAAATTTCGGATATTTTTCTTTGTTCTATACTTCCTCTCTGAAATGTACACTCCTATTAAAAAAAATGAAAAATACATTCTTCTGTCACACATCAATTTAGTCGGATGGTTAAAATCTGGCCAAGCATAAATGCACGTAACATAACTACTGTTTTTTTTTTTTTAACATTAACATAACCATAGTTAATGTTACGTCTAAGTAAAGATGTAACATTAGTTTAAATTGAGATATAATTTTTTAAAATTTTAAAAATATTTTTCAGTACAATACAAAATGCACACAAAAAAATAATTTAAATAAAATTACACTAAAACTTTTTAAAATAAGCAATGCTCGTAGAAGGTAGTAAAAATGGTAAAGTAGAAATCAGACATTTTCTTCAACAAATTAAAGGAAAGAAAATCCGATCCCATTATGATATTCACACCACCATAATAATGGTCTTTCAAAAGTGGTAAATTTTTAATTCCTCACAAAATAAAACCGTTTTAGGGTGAATGAGGTCAAGCTGAACGCAGGACGGCGGCAGAATTTGTAAGTGAGATATAAAAATATCGTTGAAATTTCATTAAAATTACAAATAAAATAAGCATTAAAAAAAGAAAAAAATACATATAAATCTTAACAAATTTATTTACAAATAAGTCTCATAAAATTTAAAAACTATAATTAAATCCTTTAAAATTTGAGTATAATTTAAAATTAAAATAAAATGATAATAATGCCCCAATTACATATACATGCATTAAATTAGTTAAATAATTTACAATGACTTGTCCCTGACTTGCAATTATAACTAATTTTTTTTATATTTAATATTAAATATGTGAAGTTACAATTATAAAAAATTAAAGTTATAGTTGTAAGTTATTGATAAAATAGTTATAAACAATTAATATTAATTTTGTTAGTAATATATGATTATTAGATATATAAAATTATAATTGTAAAAAATTAAAATTATAATTGTAAACGCTGATGAAATAGTTATAAATTAATTATTTAATTGATGTAATATATATTTAATAAAAATATTATTATCTTTACATTTTAATTTTAAATTATATATAAATTTTAAAGAACCTGTAAAATTCATAAAATTTATTTTTAAATAAATTTATTTTACAAAACCTATGCATACTTTTTCCTTAAAAAAAAGGGAGCGTATAAGCCTAGAAGGACGCGGTCCCAGAAATGAATAAAAGACAGAATTTTTTTGAGAGAGAGAGAATGCCGTACCGTCGAGAATCGTGAATGAGATAATTTGGGAGCATTTTGTCGCGTGACGTGGCAAAAGGCCCACAAATTTCTCCTCTATCTTCTATTCCTTTGACAACCCTGCGTCACGCAACAAACAAACCAACATACCATACCCCCTCCTTTCTTCGCCACCACTCCTCCAATCTCTATACTCTCTTTGCTGCATTTTCTAACACAACTGAGAAACCCTCCTTTCCTTTCATCATTTCCTAATCTCTCATTTTATTCCTTTCGGATCTTCATCTACTGCTATCACATTCATATCATTTGTTTTTTTTTTCCTTTTTAAATTTTGATTCTTGGATCCCCTGCATTAGATCACAGGTATTCAGACCATCCCTGAACGTCATTGTCGTCTAAATTTTGCTTCTCACTAGTTGCGATTCATTCGTTGGAAAAGCAGTGCGTTGATGTGTGATTTAATGTTTCGTGTTTGTCTGTTTCGTTCGTGGACTTGATCTTTTGGCCTCTGTTGTTATAATTTGAGACGTTGCTATCTCAACCTGCAAACCAGTTTCTGTGAGAATTCATTCCTCTTTCGTATCATTGTCTGAAACGTTCTTCATGTCATGAAATAAAAATGCGATAACTTATGTGAACTGCGGATTGAACATTGTTCAATGCTCATGACCGGTTTGGCATTTACTATTCATATTTCACACATGGAATGGAGGGCATATCAAAAATCCCAATTTGTGTTCAGGAAAACGGGGTAAAGAATCGTGATAATGATTTAGACTGCATTGATCTTTTAGCTCAGTAGTTTCTTTTTGAGGGAGAGGTTCGTACTTCTTGGTGTCAAATTGTCAACTCGATCAAGAATTCAATGAGCTCTTTTACATGCTGTAGCACATAGCGAAAGGATGTTCTACTTAATGCTGTATTTTATTTTGACAGCAAGGGCATCAACTCATGTTCTTTGTTCATTAGGAAGCTTACATCTCAATGATGGTTTTGTGAATTGCACGTTCTATGATTAATTACTGATTACAATTGTACCTCTTATTTTTCATTGTCCCAACATGTTCCTGAAGCTTTATGCATGTGAGTTTATCACTTCTTAATGTGCTGATAGTTGGATAATATTTGATTTACTCTGTCTTATGTACCATGACAGCCAAATTGTATTGAGTGTAAAAATTGGGAGATTTCTGGAGAAGCTGCTGATGTATCTTAAACAAAGAAATCACTTGCATGGCCACAACGCATAAGTGATCTTCTGATCATGTTTGGGACAAGAAAGCGATCAAATATAAAGAGGCCCATATGGACTATATTATTGGTTTCTGTAGCGAGCATTTTTCTGACTGTTGCTTATTTTTATCTACCAAGAAGTTCTGCATCATGCTTTTTATTTGACTCTGAAGCTTGTGGAGCATATGAAGGGGTGGCTACCCGGGAATTGACTGATGCTGAGACTGAATCTAAGGTTGTTGTCAAGGAACTTCTGAAGACTCGTCCTGTCCATACAAAGAACCCTAAGATTGCTTTTTTGTTCTTGACTCCGGGTACATTGCCTTTTGAGAAGCTCTGGCACGCATTCTTTCAAGTATGGCATCATTATTCCATTTTTTCAATTCTTCGGTCTATTAGTATGAATGCTATATTCCCCCAAGTTTCTTCGTAGTTTTATCAAATAAACTGCATCTGTGGATTTTCCAGCAGATAGAGGTTCCGCATTTTCTCTTCATAGGTTTAAATTTCAGTCATGTTAGCTTGTTTCAGTTATGTAGCAAACTTGCTATGTGAATGGAGTTAAGCACTTCCTGAAGCTATGATGGATTTATTTTGGTGCATCTCTACTCTGTCAAGTCACTTTAAATTTATGAAATATATTTCTTCCGAGGTCTTGTTACCATATTCAATTGGCTACTTTTCTTGTAGGTCTGATACCAGTGATTTTGCCCCTTAACCTCTATATCTAGCAAACAGTCTTTATATATAGCGATGTCCTTGCACATATTTAGACACCTCTCTGTTGCTGGCTTATTTTTTTGGAAAGAATTAAAAGAATAGAAGTTTAGCCAGCTTATCTGTAAAAAAAGTTCTTTCTTTGCATCATCCCTCTTTTCCTCGCCTGTCATGTCTGCCTTTTACATTAAAGGAATGGGAGGAACATCAATCAAGTTCTTTTATATGAAATCATTAATAATGATCTTTCTTCTCCGCAAAAGTATTTGTTTTGGGTTGGGTGGAAAGCTATGGTATGTAACTGACATCTTCAATCAGTGATAGATAGGATAGATTTACTTTTAGTAACCATATCACATATTTGTGTGACAACTGTTTTTTTTTTTTTTTTTTAACTTTAAAGCCTGTAACATTTGCCCATAATTGCTAATTGTAATTCATTTTAATTTTGGATGTGATAGATACAGTTTTTTTTTTTGGGTGAAAATCATGATTCATTCATAACCAGATATTACAAACTCAAATCACCTCTATACGGCCATTTCTCTCCCCTTCCTCTTCTTTGATAGATATAGTTTTGAATTCTACTTATACCTCTAAAATGCAGGGCCATGAAGGCAGATTCTCAGTTTATGTGCATGCGTCAAAGGAAAAACCAGCACATGTCAGCCGTTATTTCGTTGATCGAGACGTTCACAGTGAATCGGTATGGGGCATAATACAATATTTGAATATCCAAACTGTTAGTTGTTCTGAGAAAAATCAAAGTATTATTACCAAGGTTGATGACTGGCAGTTGATATGACAGAATGTATATAATTTTTATCAAGTGCTTAGCATAATTTGAATGATGTTACAGAAAGTCATACAAATGCGATCTATGTCTTGATACTAGAATTTTACAGGTAGCCTGGGGAAGAATTTCCATGGTTGAAGCAGAAAAGAGACTTTTGGCCAATGCACTTTTAGACCCTGATAACCAACATTTTGTCCTGCTATCCGAAAGGTTTTTTAATTTTTGTTTTTTTTAATTTCTTCTTGTTGTTAAGTCGTGATTTGTTTGAGGGATTCATTCTGTTTAGTTCTATCTCCAAATTTTTATTCCAGCTGTATACCCGTGCGTCACTTTGAATTTGTGTACAACTACTTGTTGTATACAAATGTCAGCTTTCTTGACTGGTAAGACAATGTAAATTTTCTCGAGCTCGTATCATGAGAAGTTTCGACTACTTAATTGTTATGTGGAAATCCAGTCTAACCTGTCTCTATTTTTCTTTCCTTTTACCCGGAAAAAAAAAAAAAAGCTTTGTGGACCCTGGTCCTCATGGGAATGGCAGGTATATTGAACACATGCTTCCTGAAGTAGAGATACGGGATTTCCGAAAGGGTTCACAGGTATAATTCTGTTGATGCTGATAGCTTCCTGATTTGAACTTCTAGTATCCACGTGGAAGTAATTTTTTACAAGTTCATATTATGCGTACTTTTGGTAAACGCTATCTTTCGTATGCAGTTTCACAGACAGCTATGTATTGAAAGAAGTTCTCCTGATTGGCTATTTCTACTATTTGTTCTCCTCTCAGTTCGCCCTTCATACTTTGCTCCGTGTAGTTATATCCAGATAATAGAGCCTTTGAGAATTTTGTTGACTTCATTTATGAAACGGGTCTTTGCCTGTTTATAGCGTGGAATCTATACCGCCCAAAACAACTATTGAATTACCTTCCATTCACCCCAGTTTTATGCTGCAAGATTTTATCACAAAATCTACAGATTGCTGACATTGGGAAATGGCTTGTCATTTGCTCTCATCATTTGACAAATTGTTCTGTTACTCACTATCTATAATGCCTAGCTTTTGCGGCTGGGAAACCTTACTATCTCCCAGTTGTTTAAGATGTCGATTTTCATTCCAAGTATGAGACGTTTATCTGCATGGGAGAAATCTTTTATGCACGTTTAACTTTCAATATATTTTGCTTCATTTTTCTTTATGCATTTTACATGATTTTGGTATTACTTGTTAGGTTCAATTAATTTTTTCTTTGGTCATTCTTTTCGTATTGGAAGTACACAGAACAATTTATTACAAATCAAGATTTGGATCAAAATATGGTTCTTCTATCATAAATGTACACATGTTGGAGATCACTTTTTTAGCTAATTTTGATTTGTAATGCAGTGGTTCTCCTTGAAGCGGCGCCATGCAATAATAGTGATGGCAGATAATCTCTACTTCACAAAATTTAAGCATTATTGCAGGGTATTATGTTACTAACGAATCGCTTGCTTGAAGCTTTTGTGGTTTCTGATTGAGTTGATTATTTCATTCAATCTTTAGTTATCCTATTACCTCTGTTGAGAACCATTGTGGGTGGATATGAAATATATTTTTGTTGATTACTTGATGAAATAAAAGATTAGGCCAATTCTGAAGCACCCGTTTCATTTCCATGTACTCCTGTTCTCTGTACTCTCCCTTGGAAACAAAATTCTAGCTTCATGAAACAAGACACTTTAGAAAGCATGCTGCTATAAGAGCGGAACATCCTGAAGTTTTATGGAATAATAGAAGATTAATTTTGCATGGAATTTATATTCTTTGGCTTCTGAAGATGGCAACTCATCTTCCCTTATTCAATTCTCTTCTGTACAGATGGGTTAATAATTGTTTTTCTCTCTCTCTCTGTGTATCTCCAGAAAAGCATGTATAAATTTATATATATCCTCACTTTGCTTATTTACAACATTTCTTTACTCGTTATTTGGAAGGAAGAAATCTGTAAAGCTGAAGTTTCCCTTACCAACATCCCACTACTCATGTTTTAAACTTCTGCAGCCAAATATGGAGGGAGGACGCAACTGCTATGCTGACGAGCATTACCTTCAAACGTTCTTTCATGTCAGTGCAGAGAACTTCGCTGTTTTTGCATACATTGTAGCATATAAAGCATTCTCCTCTCTCATATAGTCTCGTTACTGATTTACATTGTATATGTTCAGATGATTGATCCTGGTGGAATTGCAAATTGGTCAGTAACGTTTGTTGATTGGTCTGAGGGAAAATGGCATCCAAGATCATTTGCGCCCGCGGATATCACCCATGACCTACTAATGAAAATATCAGTACGTAACATACACCTTACTCTCTCTTCTTTTAATTGGACTCCACAGTTTTGATGAGGGAAAGCAAACCTCAGCGTTCTTCTGGTGTAATCATTAAAAGAAACCTGAATCATACGCTTCAATATTACCCTGTCGATCCTTATTTGACTATGTCCGAGCTTCTGGCAATTGTGGGAAAAATGATCGACAAAGAGAGTGGGATTCTGAAATTTACTTTAGGGAGAATCATTGTTTATAGATCTGGAATTCTAGCTTTCTCTCCTAGCATGAGCACCTGTTTACAATCTTAATATGACATGATTTGGTTCACTCAATGCAGTCCGTGACAGAATGCCCACATTACACAAGTGATGCACAGGTATAAAATCAAATCATATACAATCTCATGCAGTTTTTTTTTTTTTTTGGTATACATGTTTGGATTTCCCCACCTAGTGGGAATTTTTTTTTGTTGCAATAATTTGGTTTTACGTTGAAAACCATTAAAAATGCGGTTTTGATGGTTTCTTATGTAATTTTGTTGATTTTTATGTGAAACCAAGCGTGCTGATAAATTTAAACTAACTTATGAATACCAACATTGGTGGTGTTGATGGTGGAATTGGGCGTGATTTGCAGAGATCATTAGTGATTACACCGTGCATATGGAATGGGTTACAACGGCCTTGTTACCTATTCGCGAGGAAGTTTTACCCAGAAACACTGGAAAAATTGTTGCAGCTTTTCTCTAACTTCACAACATTCTAAGAGCATTTTCTTTAGGTAAAATATGGCATTGATTATTTGGTCACGTGATGCATGCCCTGCCTCACCTTGGCTCTTGCACATATGGATCATTTATAAGTTGGGTCGTAGGGAAGTCCAGACCCAAAGGAAATGAATTTTTTGTAGGGAGAGAAAAGAGAGGGTGATTAAGCTTTGGATTGATAAAATTGACAAGCTTGTGGACGGTGATGGATGGATGTTTTCCAGTTCTGATTTTTATAAACTTTGGATGGTTGGTTTATTCTCAAACATTGTAGGTTTTCCTCGAAGTTGACAATTAATCTTTGATACACTTCACTGAAAGAGGGAAAAGTTTTGATCTTCAGGGAGAATCTTCATTGGCGTTTAGTGAGAATCTCGGCACTTCAAATTTACAAGTTGATACTTACTACCCACTAATATTGTTGAACAGTGACGGTTGATTAGATTATCAGTTTATAATAGCACCTGATATTTTTAAAATCAAAGTCGTCATGGAATCGATAAAGGTATATTAGATTAACTAGCATTTACTTTCCCACTGAAATGTAATGAAATAGTCAAGTATATTTTATTGATATGGATGAGTTGATGAAACTGGTAAACACAATGTTTAAGGCAATTTGGAGACAATAGAAGTTATGGATATTGTAGATGAATGGTCTCTCATTTCCCAGAAAACGAGTGTGAGGATCATGAAGATTTATGGGCAACATATGATTTGCTAAATATTGTTGCACTCTGGGAGCGATATATATATATATATATATATATATTTTCGCGAAGCTCTTATCTGCACGCATTAGTAATGAAACAGTATGTGGTAAACAAGTTTATTTTGAGATTCACTTCCACAAGCATTGAAATATTAATATTCCTCTACTTAAGCTTAGAACAAGGAAGAATCACGTTTTGGTTCATTCCTATATTTTTCTAAACATGCATCCAGACCATGGAAGCCAAAACTATAACTTATTATGATTTGGGATGTCTCCTATCAATCTTATGTGAGACTTCAGGCACAAGAAGTCACCGTTTAGTTCAATTAATAAATCCACATAAAAATGCACCATACCAGAAATAAACTACTTTACATTTCTAATTCAATTAATTCCAGAAACTCGATTGTATTCTTTGTGGCCAACTTTCACAAAACCACCAAATTATGGCTTTCCTTTTTCTACAAGGTTTGATTTGACGCTACATGTAGAAGTTTATGCCATATACGTGTGTACGCATGGTAGATATATACGTGCGTGTATATATATATATATATATATATATTTTTCCTTGTTAAATTCACTGTGAGGACAAACGTGGTTATATTTACGGGTGCGTAAATATATATCATGTTCTGAATTATAATAACAAACAAAATTTACACTTAGCTAAGTGAAGATATATGTTGTTGTATTTCTACTCCTTCGTATACTAACATGCACAATACCAATTGAGATTGAAACGATTAAAGTACTGTTTCTAAAGAAAAAGAAAATAAATCGAGGGTTTATATGATAAATCGACCTCTAAATTATAAATTTAGAAGTGTGCAAAATACTAAACCCATTTTTTATGTAATGTTCTCATTTAATTTTTAAAAATAGTATAATATAACTTCCAGTATTAATAAATGTTAATTTTGATTATTAATTAATTAAAAAATTATAAAAAAATCTAAAATTATAGCAAAGGCTTATCTATAATTTTTTTTTTCATTGCCTATAATTTTGAGTCATCTTTTGTAATTTTGATATCATTTTCTATAATTTTTTTATTAACTAATAATAAAAGTTAATTTTTGATAATAATAAAAATAACATTTTATCATTTTTAAGAACTGAAGAAAAATGTTATATTAAAAATAAGTTTAAAGTCTTCTACATTTCTAAACTTATAATTTAAAAGTAAAATCACCTTTTAACCCACAAATTAAAAAGTGGAACTACCTATCTCCCTTCAACGGGATGGATAAAATGACAAATTTAAATGTTTAACGTTGGCATTTGAAGACCAATCAACCTTTTTTGCCCTCAATTATAAGTAACACGTGTGTTTGCAAAAGATCCTTAACAAGTCTAATTAGTCGAACAATTTACAAGCTAAACCCAACCTAGCTACTTTTCTTGCAATACTAAGCCAAAAAAAAAAAGAGGAAAAAGAAAATTAAAACAACGGTGCATGCATGCAAATAAATGCGCGGGAGTGAAGCTATACTCAAAAAAACCAACCAAAAAAAAAAAAGATGGAGAGAGTGGCATGAAATATGAGTAAATATTTAATCTTAATAACCATGATTAATTGGATTGGAGCAATAGTATTTACATCTACTAGATGGCAGCAAAACACGCATGTTGAGCAAAGCGCTAATTATAGGGAAACTATATACAGGGTCACGTCAGAATCATTCATAATATTAATCCCCCAAAAATATCCAAAAGTTTTGTACCATCCAAAACCAACTTTTTTCTTCTTCAACTCAACGAGCAAAGCTATGTTCACTCTCAACCCACCAAATCCCACATCTCTGGTCAATCCAAAATGTCCACGTCCTACTTAAATATGAACCCCCCAATCCTCTTTTTCTCTGGGCTTGGTTTCGGATTCAAAAGAACACACAAGATTGGAAGGGAAGGGAAGGGAAGGGAATAGAACACAATATTTTTACACCATAAAATAAATAAAAAATAAAAAAAGAAGAAGTCAGAAGATGAATTCCAGAAACTCTTCTCTTCTCTACGTAGCTCTCGCTCTTCTGGCTTTGTCGTCCGCCATTGAGGCCTTCGACATCACCAAGATGCTAGGACAATACCCTGACCTTAGTTCCTTCAATCAATACCTCACCGAAACCAAGCTTGCTGATCAGATCAATAGTCGTCAAACCATTACCGTCCTCGCCATGGACAACGCCGCCATTTCCGCCATCTCCGGCAAGCCAATGGCCACTATCAAGGCTATCCTCAGCACTCATGTCGTCCTCGACTACTTCGACGAGATGAAGCTCATGTCCGCGGTCGAGAACCAACAGACTCAATTGACCACTCTCTACCAAACCACTGGTCCCACCAATAGCCAAATGGGCTTCATCAAGGTCGGCCTAATTGGCGAGGGCGAGATTGCGTTTGGATCCGCCGTCAACGGCGCCCCTATCGACGTGGAACTCGTCAAAACCGTCGCCACTGAGCCTTCAAAGATTTCTATTCTCCAAGTCGTCAGACCAATTATTGCTCCTGGCATTGATGGACAATCGTCACAATCAGCATCATCGCCGGCTGCATCATCGGCACCAAAAGCTCAGGCTCCATCATCGGCACCAAAAGAAAAGGCTCCAGCAGCATCACCATCGAGATCATCGCCACCTCCATCAGAGGCACCAGCAACAGCAAAGGCTCCAGCTACATCAAGGAAGCAGATATCACCATCGTCCGAGATCTCACCATCTTCAGAGAGCTCGCCGGCGCCGGAGATCTCGCCATCCGCTGAAGAAGCTGAAGCACCATTGTCAGATGACTTGACTCCAAGTGACGCTCCAGTTCCGGCTACCAGCAGCTCTGCACGGATCCAGATGGGCATAGTTTGGGCCGGACTTATGGGCCTTGGGGCCCTTTTGGTCGCTGTGTAAAATGAAGCACGAGATTGCTGGGTAAATGCGGGAGAGCGAGATGTTGTCATGTTGATAAGGGCGTAATTATTACATCCATTGTCACTAATTTAATTTTAATATTTTAATTGATGGGTTTCTTCAGTTTTGGTCCTAGAAATTTCTTTTTATGGGACTAGGTTAATTCACTTGAAACCGAATTCATAGAAATAAATATTTAATTTGTGACTTGAGATGATGAGTGATGAGCTTTAAGAATTAAATCGACTAAATCGTGCCATTATGTTCTTCCGTATTATCCTTTCTATTTAGGGACAATTTCAATTAAGATCCTCATAACAAAATTAATCACACATAAGACCCAATAGATACTGACACTTTTCTACAAGTCTAAGTAAGAGCCTCAATTGCAATTAAAATTTTTGGTTCAATTATTAAAATACCATTGGTTTGTATTAAAATAAAAAAAAAACTCACCCTCATCATTGTAAAATATAATTTCAATTTTTGGTCCTCAACTCCTTGGGTGTTGAAAAAGAATGTTGCCACTGATACTAATTAAACATCTTTAGTTGTACATAGTAAAATATAATGTGTATGTATGTAAATTAATTATAAGTTGTTTTCAAGCATTTATGTAATTTGCTATTAGTTATGGACATATTATTATTTATATTTAAACAATCTATAAATATTTAAACATAACTTGTTCATATGTAAAAAAGTTGTTAATTTTTTAAACCTAACTTTTTCAATTTTTTTAACACATTGTTCGTTTAACATTAACAGATTATTAATATTATACTAAATAATATATATATATATATATATATTATAAATTTATTTTTTAAGCATTTTCATAAATATTGGTTAATTATGGACATATTATTATTTATATACAAACAATCACTTATAAATATTTGAACATAATTTGTTCATATATAAAAAACATAATTATTATGAATATAAATAATAATACAAAAGTACAGGATTATATAGAGTTTTTTCCATACAACTTTTTTGTTGCCATTTCTCAAAGACTTCCCTATGTATAATTATCCTAATGATTGTAGGTTATGAAGATTATTGAACTAAAATCTCATCTAGAGTTTTTATTCTTTTAAAATTATGAAAATTAAAGGAGGAAAATTTTCAGAAAGAAAACCAATACACACGTACACACACCCAAAAAAAATTGAAGAACAGTTTCCAGCAATTATTTGAACATTTCGAAAACGAGACAGCTTGAATTAAGTATAATTTATAATCTGCTTTAAATATTGAATTAAACAATCATGCGATTGTCACTCAAACTTTTAGGGGTACTATAACTTAAGCAACAAATCCTTATGTATTTGGCCAATATTATATTATATTATATTATATTATATATATATATATATATATATATGAAACAATACCATCATGAAATACAGCATACTGCATCATGCATGTGATTATTACTTAGTGCGATGGACTGTTCATGAAATTGTAGAACAAATGCTCTACTAAACATAAACATCATGAGATACTACTGTGTTATTTAGAGAGAATTAGAGACTGTATGTGATTATATGGAAAATCCTTCTTATGATAATCAGTCGATGGCATAAACAATGAAAATGGTGAACCTATGCTCATTCGATCACTAATTTTCTTTGGCCCACGAGAAAAAAATAAAAAAAGAGTGCTAATTTTTGTTCACCATTTCTTTAAAAAAAATGACAGAAAAATTTATTTAAATTATATAAATGACAGATTGGTCTCACAAAATAGCAAAATTCTCCTGGAGTTCCATGAGATTTTTATGTCATTAGAGAATTAAAAGAAATGACCAAATTACTCTCAAATAAAATAAAAATTTCAAGCCTAAATGCAAAGTCATTATTGTGCTTTCTTGCCTCTGCTTCATCTTCTTGTTCTCCTCCTCTTTTCTTCTTTGTGCTCTTCTTCTGGTTTGTCTTTTTCTCCTTCTTGGTCTCCTTCTCCTTCTCCTTCTTGTCTGTCTTATTTCTTTTTGAGTTCTTGTATGTGAGTTCCTCTGTTAGTTGTGCTATATGTGGGTAAGTTTCTTCTTCTCTTTGAAAATTTCTCCTCCTATATGTGATAATTGAAGTTAATGTGGGTTAATGTAAATAAATGATTGAGATCTTCATTTTTTTTCATGATTGAGGTCTTCATTTTTTTTACTGTACATGAGTATGGATGCTTATTTATAAATAAATGATAAATGATATATCATCTTCAATTGTATTGTAAATGCATAAATCAAAATTGTGAATTATCAATACAAAGTTGTGAATACAAAAAGAATAGTTATTGTTGGATAAAACACAACAGATATATAATTGTGATGTTTGAAAAATAGACATGTTGATGAATGGTTATTTTATTATTTCAGGTTGACGTGAGAAATGGTTGACATGTTGGGATGACAGTGAAAGATTCAACCCTTCATATATTTTTGTCAAGAGGGTTGTAGGGTATTTTAATATAAGTTATAAATCATGTAACTGACAAGAACACCTTCAAAAAAAATCTTAGATGGTTGTCACTTTTTAAGGTTTTCTTGTCATTTAAATAGTGAAAGTTGTTATTTTTTGAATTAAAGTGGTAATTCATTTTTGCTGATTTAATCAAGTTATAGAGAATACTAATAAATTATAATTTCTTATTGTATTGTTGTGAATCTAGAGATAAAAGTTATTAATATAAGAATAAAAGTTATGAATGAAAAGTTGAGAATTTTCAACATTTGATGCATATTAGAATCTATATATGTGGAGTTGCAAATGACTATTGAATTATTTTGAATTTAGAAATAAAATTATTAATATAAAAAAGTTGTGAATAAAAAGCTGTGAATTTTCAACCCCTGATATATATATCAATATCTGCAAATGTGAAGTTGTGAATGACTATTGAATTGTTGCGAATTTAGAAATAAAAGTTGTTAACGTAGGAACAAAAGTTGTAAATAAAAAATTATAAATTTTTAACACCTTATACATATCATGACCTGTAGATCATCACTTGCAAATAGCTATTAAATTGTTATAAATTTTAAAAACAAAAGTTGTTAATATATGAACAAAAATTGTGAATTTTTTAATATGAATAAGGGGCAAAAATATATTTTTTTATAATTTTTTAATAACAAAAACATCCCTCAAGACTCCAGGATAATTATACAATTTTGTGCGACTAATATATTATTTCGATAATTTAAAAAGATTTTATTATCATTTTTCTTTTCTTTTCTTTTTTTTTTTAAGTTTTTGATTCACATTTAAATGTAGTCCCAAATGACACGGCCCACGGCCCTTGTACTTGAGACAAATATTAATTGTTGGCCGATGCTTCCTTCCAAGTTGCAACTTAATTTCTTTATTTATTTTAATTAGCCGCTATATTTATTTTAGGAGGGATAAGATATGAAAAATAAAAATAACATGTAAAATTCTAGTCGTGGTCAAAAAGCTTAATCAGTCACTTGATTATGATATTAACAAAGATAAAAGTATATTTTTACCTTTGAATTATTTTTCGAGAAGCATTTAACAACCTAAATTATTGATTGAAATAATTTTGCTTTTAAGTAATTAAAACAAAATATTTTTGTTATTTCCATTAAACCTCCTAATGGTTAATGTTAGAGTTCCAATTAATATTTCTAACAGTCAACGTTTTAAATTTGATGGCAATGGTAAAAATTCTCTGTTTTAATTACCCCAACAAATAATTAAGGGTGTTGAGCATTGAAAAATATTTCAAGGATAAAAATACACCTTTACCCTATTAATAATTTCCTCCACCTAAACCTATCATCATCATCATTTAAGTATATTCTTCATGAAACTAATATTAGAATCAAAATTAAAATTTTTAAAGGTATTAATAATCAATAATTGTCAATTATGTTTATGATGGACCGGGCTTGTCCCTTGCCTAAAGCCCAGCTCGAAGTGCTCAAATGCCTTGGGTAGGGCTAGGCTAGACGAGCATTCGAGCACTATACACAACTCTATTTCCATCACACTTTTATTGCTAATATCACTTAGAAAGTACAACATGTTCATTAAGATTTGAAGATTCAAATAAGGCACAACAAACTCATTATTTAACACTATTGACTATAGTGCTTTCATTACCTTCCACAAGTTTGCTTGCCGTTAGATCTTGAGGGTTTGCAATTTCTTCACACATTTGCGGTATTCTGAGTAATCTCACTTGAAAAGTACAACTTGTTCATTAAGATTCGAAGGTTCAAACAAGGCACAATGAACTCGTTGTTCAATGCTATTGATTAGAGTGCTTTTATCAAAATTTGCTCACTATTGGATTTTCAAGGTTAACAATTTCTTCACACATTTGCGACATTTTGAGTAATTTTTTATTCTTTCATTTATCTAATTTTTTTGTATTCCAAAAAAAAGAAGAAAACAAAAAGAAGAGGAAAGGAAAAAGAGAGAAGGAAAGAAAATAAGAAGTGAAAAGAGAGAGAGAGAGAAAAAATTTATCATGATGCTTAATTAGTTGCCAATATGCTTGAAATTTATCCTGCCACTCCCTTTCTGGATTTGTTCTTTAATTTTAACTTGTCCAAAGCTGAGTTCTTCAAGCAAAGGAGAAATGGTGTAATATAAAATAAAGTATAATTAAGGTTTAATTTAACTAATTAGGGTTATCTGGTAGGGATAATTAAATAAGAATGTTTATCCATTAGAATCAATTTTGATTATTTATTTTATTATTGTTATTATTATTATTATTTTAGATATCAGTATTTTTAATAGATTAAAGTATACATTTAATCATTTAACTTTATACAATGTTTCATTTTAATCTCTTAACTTTATGAAATATTTTTTTAATCCTTTAACTCTAGCACTGTTAGTTTCATCTCAACAATTTTTACATTAAATTTTTAAATATTAACAAAATAGTCTCAAATGTTGATATATCAAGTTTATTTTTTAAAAATAAGAATATTTTTCACAAAAAAATAATTATTTGAAGCTAATAAAGTTAGGGTTAAAGGCTTAAAAAATAATTTAAAAAATTAAAGGACTAAATTAAAATTTTATATAAAGATAGAGGGCTAAAAATATACTTTGGCCTCTTTAATATTATATTTGGATTTA